TATTGAATACATAATCTTTTTAATTTTAGTATAATTTGCAGAAATCGCCAATTCATTATGACAACTCGACTGTCTTGCTGTCAGCTACAAAAGCAATTGGATCAACACCACGACTATATGAAGATGTGTCAACTCGAAGGGATAGTTGTGGCGATGGGCAAAGTGAATCACTCATTTCATCAAAGTAAGTTATAGATATTGCAAGTATTGCTAAAATCATCCAAAATTTGGGTTAAAATTTGAAAGCATCATCAATTGTTTTTGCTATTACAATATTGCGCGATCGTTTGGTGCAACTTGTTATATTTTATTTGATTAATTTATTATAATATTATATAGCGTTTAAAATTTTATATAAAGCATTTTAAATTTTTTATTATATGCTGAAATATTTAATTTCTATTTATTTACTAACCCTCAATTATTTTTAGTCAATTAATCAATCCTTTAATTAATTGAACATGAATTACTATTCATCATAACATTGTTCTTTTTGACATTACTTATATGTTACAAGTTTACCTTTCTCTGGTCGTAACATCATTAATTATCTTTTATCAGCCATCTTTAATTTCCCAACCAATTTAAAACTATTTAATTGAAATTAATTTATTGATTTAATGAGGACTGATCAATTTATTTGATTCTAAATCTAGTTCAATGTTCAAAAATTAGTTTTTTTGCTACATCAGCAATTTTTTACTTATATATCACTGATATATCACTGATTTAATTACAACCATCATAACGTGTAGAATTATTGGAAAATTGTTGAAGTTTTTTGAAATATTTAAGTTGAACTTTTCCAAGCAATTATAACAATTTTTGAAAAGAAAAAGTAAGCTCTGGCTAATTTAGCTCCGAAACAAGTTCCGCATCATCATCCAATGGTAGCTCGGGATACGGACCCCATTACGATACTTTACCATTAAATCCAGTGAAGAAAAGTGTTGGTCGAACAAAATCGATGGATTACGGTATTCGACGCGGTTTTGGTTCCTTCAAAAATAATGCATTCGGTAAATTGGGCAATAAGCATGGATCGTGCAATGTATAATGAGAAAAACTAAATGGCACTGTGGAAAAGAACGAGAAGTAAATTTTTTCTGAAATGAAATTTTTGTCTGTTACTTTCCATATATCATTAGCATCATTTACTTTACGTTAATTTATTATTGTTTATTCCACAATATTTCAGAATTCATCATAATTGTCAAAATTTGCATAAATCAACATGGAAATATTTCTGTTGCTAATAATACTGGTATTAAGGATTATAGTTCTTGTAAAATAAATGAAATTTAGTATTCATCCTATCATCATTTCTAAAAGTTGGTAAACAATGACAATGAAAGAGAAGAAGAGAATGATTTAAAATTAGAATTGCACAGTATGATGAAACAGATAGGTTATACTCATTTATACGTTGAAATTTAAAAGAGTTAATGAAGATTTTTTCTGTTATTTACTTGTCTAGGAGTAAGCCTGACGATAATCAATCAATAATTCAAAATCTCAATAAAATATAAAAGAATGATGCAATAAGCAAAAATGATTAATAAAAATTTAGTTTTTGGGATGGATATATTATCATAATTTGGAATATATATTTATTTATGCATATGTAACATGTTGATGGTGCTGTTTCATAAAGTTTTTCGGCCATATATCTATTTTCAAATTTTTTTTGTAAGTCCTTCAAACGATCATAATTCTCAGTTAACCATAAAAAATGTAAAATGCTACTCAATTTCTATATTACTTTCGATATTTCGTCAAAATTTGAAGCTAATAGCTTTCAAATTTTTTTCTTCCAAAATGAACTGATTTCTCGATTGATTTTATTTAATAAATTCAGATGAAAAAAATTTCGCTTTCAATAATAGATTCTTATAGCATAGCTTTACATTTCAAACGAGAGCAATATATTTAATGAAATTTAGATGTAGTTAAATTTTTATTAAAAAATTATTCAGAAAGAATTCTCTTCTCTTTTCACCTCTGATCATTTGCAGAGCTTTTTTTTCGTTTTTTTCACCTTCGCGCAAGAATTTGTTTAAACATTACTTGATTTTGTCTATCTAACGAAACTGAATTTGTAATCGTTTATATTAGCCATCAAAATATCCAAGTATTATCATTTTACCTACTTTTTCTCATCTATCCCAAGAAAAAAAATATCTTATTGAAAGAATATGGCTTAGAAAATTCTTAATCACAAAAATAATTCATCTAAGAATGATTTAAAAGAGTCTTTTCTCGATGTCATATAGAGGGTTAACCAAGACCAAAAACTAGAAATATTATCGTAATTTTATTTAAATGTATAATATAATATGAAATCACATAAAATAATGTATAAAATCATTGCAGGACTTTGTGGCTTACCACTCGCTTAACCTTCTTTTGTGGTAATTTAATTGCTCAGGTCATCTAAAAGCAAAACAGGACAAAGAATTTCTAAGAAGAATATATTTTTGATTTCGTTTCTCGACACCTCAATATCATATTTTTCTAATTTTTTCAAAAATTTCATTTTGATAACGATTCTCTCCTTTACCTGATTTGCTGCAGTATGCAAAGGGATACTTGAAAATTTTATTTCAAGTATTAATCCATATTGATTCTGGAAGTTTCTTATCAAAAACAAGCTTACTCTATTTAATTTTTTTGTTTTTTAAAAAATCAACATATCAAGAAGTATAATTTTCTTTAAAATTAATTGTTCCGGATAAATCATCAGCCAAATTATAAGATCAAATAAAAAAGATGAAACATTTTTTGGGGGTCACACAGATAACTGACGCAAGCAGAGCACATATCACGTGGAATTATAAAATGCAATATTATTTAAACTTTTCATTTCGTTTCTGAAAGCCATCACATATAGTCAAAATATAGCAAAGCAAAATATAGCGAACCAAATAATAAAAATACTGCACTGCAGAGAATGAGTTAAAAAATAAAAATTTTCAATCCAAATAATTATTTCAAGATTCTAATGTATGTAAGAAGGTTAAATACAGAAATTTTAAATACGCCGATATGTTCAAATCAAAAATAAATAAATGGGAACTGACTTGCTAGCCAGCAAAACAGCAATGGAGGAGGAAAGCAGGAAATTTTGCAAGATAAATTAGACTTCTCACTTATACAACAATATTTAGAAATAATGATTCCAAAATAATTTTCAAAGTATAATTCGCATAATGTGGTTCTAGAATTGTTGCCCTCTGAAAGACAAAATTTTAATAACCGCAAGAACCATTACGAAATTAAAGAGCAACATTGCAATCAACAAAGATTATATTACAGAAGATGATATCATCCGAATTTTCAATCTCATAACTGCTCAAATCGAATGTTCAAAATTAAAACCTATAGCAATTAAACAAAACAGTTTACTTCTAGAACTACATTAAGAACTGAAAACAAGTCAAGAAATTTACAAAATATTCATTAATAGCATTTCTGAAATTAGACTTCCCTAAATTAAAAAGGCAGTAAAATCACCAGCACAGATCTAGCTAAAAATAATAATGTAGCAAAGATAAACGTTACTTGTTCTAATCAATACGCTGTGGTCTTACAATAAGGAGTTAGCATGACCGTTCGATGACTTTTTCTAGATGAATTTCATTAAGTCACGGAAAGGCTTAAACAAATTTAATAGGACGACTAGCATAATATTTAATGCTAAAAATTTATTACGTTGACCATGATAGATAATAAAAAAAGTTTGCACGATTTATTAACGACTCTTCTCTCAATAATCTAAATTATTAAGTTTTGCAACGATCGAAAAATTTAAATAAAACAATTATTTCTTACTGCAATGATCATTGCTAAATTTTTAAATTTCTTTTCTTTGAAAAATTTGTAATAAAAAGCAAAAATATGTTTTGCCAATTCATTGATCAAATAGAAACCATGGATTCCATTTAACCAATAACACCAATTAATTGATCGAACTTCAATTGAAATTATTGATTCTACCGTACCACTTGTTCAACTTCCTTATCATTCCTTTCTGTAATCTAAATTGAAATCAGTATTCCATCGCATAATTTTGTGTAATTCTCCATCGAAACGACTGATTTACTTTTTTCATTCTACATCAAAAGCTCTTAATCAATTCATATAATTCCTTCTTTAGAAACTGAATAATTCGATGAAATAAAATTTCGTTCCATCATTTTTCCGCTATTGATTTCGCTGTATCATTTTTTCAATTTCAATTTCGAAATTCATCATGCAACGCTAATGATCCAAAAATTTCATTAATGATCAATATGCGGAAGGAAGAAGTTGGAATAATCACTGATGAAGCATTTCTTGAATGTTCTAAACCTATATCATCTAACTGCACGTAAGCATCAATCTATTTCTCCCTACATATCACCTAATTGCACGTAAACATCAATCCATTTCTTCCTACACATCATATAATTGCACGTAAGCATCAATCCGTTTCTCCCTATCCTCTTCTTTGGAATGGCTCGACTCAAATCAATAATGCGATCCAAAATTTGCGCATTGTTTCCAAAAAGTGTTTTGTTTTTTCTTTATTTTTATTCAAATGCAAGTATTTTATGATATCGTACGTTATTTTGTAACTATTATCTGTTCATTTCCTTTTTTTCCTTAATTCCGTTAATGCATGGGTGAATTATTACAGATATGTTATTATTGGTAACAATTGGAGACAATTATTGCATTTCGGGTTTTTTAGTATGCGGGATAGGGTTCATGAGTCAAAGATGATTGTTAATTATGGATGCGGGAGTTTGTTGTGTTTAGATTAGATTATTTGATGAAGTGGTGGAGAAGTGCAGGTGATGGAAAGGTTGACTTTTTTATGGAGCGATAATTTGAAGAATTCGGCTTCGTTTAACTACTAGTTTTCATATTAAAGTTATAGGATATTAAAGTTTGAAATCTAAATGCAAAAATATTTTAAATTTTAACAGTGATGACGGTTTAATGTGATTGTAAGCAGGAATCATTTAATTGTGATTTTTTTTTTAGTTAAACTTGCTCTTAGAAATGGGTGACTGGATTCATTGTAATGTATGCATTCGTATGCCAACTCAGGGTAATGAACAATACCCATTTTATTTTACATCATGTGGTCATATTATTTGTGGTAAATGCTACGAAACAGGTTAACCAGCTTTCATTTTTTTCATAATTTTGATGCATTCTAAAAAAATGTTACTGACTTCCTGAATTCTGTTTTAATTCCTGTAAGTTTCCAATTATCAGTTCCCGTCAACATTGTTGATGAGTTCGATGGAATCCAAAAAATAGTTTTGGCAGAAAAGCATGTATTTATTTTTGCAATATATATCTAGGTAATTTGTCGTTTTCAGCTCCTCAAGATCATTGCATGCGGTGTAGCAAGCATGCCAATGCAGTAAAAATTAATCGGAATCTTCGAAGTGATTTGCAAATGTATTTTCGAAATCCAAAAGAATTGCTGGAACAATATGTGAAAAATTTGAATGCAGTTTTGGATTTTCAAAGTAGCCATCGTCAGCATTTACAAAAAGCCAAACAAGAACAGGCAGGTAGTTCACATGAATCAGTGGTAAACTTGCAGAAATCGGTACTCATCAAAATTACCAATGAATAGGCGAATTTACCAGCGATACAATTGATTGTTCGATATTATAGCAAAAGAAAGCAATGAAATACGTAATATCGGCGCAACTCGTAATGAAGCAGAAGACCGAAAGGGAAAGGTTTGCATAATTTAATCTCTTAGAAAGTGAGCTATAGGCATTCATTTTCTTAGAATTTTGCTATAATTTTCAGGAAAGCTTTGGCTGAAAAGGATTCATTGATAAGAGAAATCGAAAAGCTTCGGCATCATGCTCAAAAACTGGAACAAATGTGCGTAAATTAATTTTCATTGCTCTTTTCTATTTTTGAATTTTGGGGTTCAAGATAAGGTCAAGAAGCTATAATTGTGTAGAATTGAGGCAGAGAGATTAAAATGAAGTGTGTATTGTTTGTCCAAACTTCTATTTTGTTTTCAAAAAATTGGAATTCGTTTCCTTCAGGTTGGCTATCAGCTCTGTTTCACGTAATAGTCCTCATTCAGCTGGACGAAATAGTAAGTTTGCTTGTTTTTCGCAAGGTATACGTTTTGTATGGCCATGTGTCGAAACTGATAAGTGCAAGCTACAAAATCTTAATATGTCGCTTTTTTATATTTTCTTGAGGAACTGGTAGGAATGATCTGAGTTCATAGCAAAACCGTAATTCAAATGATAACCACGGAATGTTAGTTTTCATTCAAGAATTCTTTAATCTAAAATGATTAGAGGGTGATAATTTTTTTCTAGCAAGAAATAGCCTAGCTTCGACAGAAAGAAGTGGTGGAGGCTCATCGGGGCGTTTTGCGACAAGTACTCCTATCAGCGATTGTTTGGAAACGGTACTTATCGAAGATTTCCTTACTAAAGATACTAAAGAATGATTTTGTGAATTTCTGCCTAATATCTCTTCGAATATATTCAAATCTAGTTATTCTTTCTAGTTTAAGCTAGTGTATTATATCATAACAATTTTTTACTCAAAATCACAAGTAGTGCCCGTTTTAAGACATTTCTAACATTATAATTCCAGTAACTTTCAGGACGGGTTTAAGTTGGGTGGAGACAATCGTTCACTTAGCCGTGTAGCTGCTGCTTTTTCTCGCAGTGGTATAGAACCAAGTCCTATTGCATTATCTGCTGCTGCTATTACAACGCCTGATATGCTAGGCTTAAGAAAACGTTCGGAGAAGTAAACTAATTTTCTGTTTAAAGTACTTGTTTTTCATGTTTCAGGCATCTTATAAGTGTGCAGTAAGTAGCAGACAATTAAGTCGAAGTCGAAGGTAATCTGTTATTCACATAAATTAAAGCAGAATAAAATCACATAGCATCTTGATCTGAAACGTGAGAAACCATAGCTATGAAGATATTCTGTATGTTTGCAATTTTGATTTATGGCTGACTGATTCGTTGATATACTACTTATGCATATTTTACTATGATTTTTCATGTAAATCAAAATGTTTTCAGACTTGACAAAAACTGGTTGGACGGAGACGGAGCAACACCGAATCGCATGTTTTCATAGACCAGATGTCACAAATTCTCAAAAGCAGTGTCCACACTATTCATGACACAGTTTTGAATCTAATATAAATTGTGATTTTTGTATTTTGTTATAATTAGTATTCACTATTTAATTTATAAACGTACCAATCATTATGAGCTTTAAAAAAATTTATTTTCCAAATATACTTGCAACTACACCTTATATCATCTTTTTGATCATTTGATCATGGATATCAGTTTCACTAATGAGACATATAATTTCAATTGTCCGGGTAATGTCAATGAATTTAGCAGGATAGTCAGAAAGACTAAAACTTTATCTGCAAAACTATTATATGTGCATCGGAATCTGACGAACAAAGCGAAGTTTTTAGGCTTTTTAAGAACCTAACCCGGAACGTTACAATTTCTAAAATCTCATAATATTTTAACACGTTCAATGTCAAAACGACCGAAAAATATCACGATATGATCTGGTGGACAGACCTTATGCTTAGGGTAAAACGTTTTGCTTTCTTCGAACCATCAATTGTAAATTCAACAGAACGATAAGATCTGCCTTGCAATATTGTTTTAAGCATGGAATGTTTAAAAAAAGCAAAAGACAAGCATAAGCACAGAAAAAATATAATGTAAGTTAAATTAAGAAAAAATCCAATCACAGATTGGAAGAATGATGAAATACATGCAATTTAAATGAACGAAATGCACATTTCTTAGTTGCTGTTATGAATCCATTATTTAATTGTCACATGATATGCAGATATTCTATCAATGTTTAAAAATCAAATTTAAAATAACCTTCATCAATTAGGTGCAGAATATGACGATATGTTTTGCATTATTTTTTTTAAATTACTTTTCTCTGAAGTAATATTACATGCTCAGATGGAATGAATTATCAGCGAAGAATTCTATGAGTTTTGTTGTGCATCATTCTTGTAGAAAACATTTCTTCCAAAGATGTTTCGCTGCCTCGACGAGATTGTATGATTTGTGATTCAATGACGATATGGAAACGTTATGGAAAATGGTAGAAATTTCATGAAACTAATATGAAAATTTTAATAAAATGAGAAACCGCAATCATTTTCAAATGTGAAATGAATGCAGAATTGATCAAAATAATTTATCAGACAAAAATTCAACTGTTTCATTTCATGACAACAAACTGTACTCAGAACATTCTTTCCCCACAACACAATATAATACTAATTGAAAATAACGAAAAACAATATCGCACAAAATAAAGATATAATTTCCAATATTATACTGCCTAAAAATATATGCTTATAAATGTACATATCTAATTTTAGTAAATCATTGAAAATAAACGAAAGGTAAATTGATCATTACATTAAGAGATGATTAGATTCATTGAAATATTTCCATCATTTTAATCATTTACATGCACTGATTCTCTTTTGCTTTTCTCAACATCACATTTGTATTTTGAATTATTTGTCATTTTAAAAATTTAATTTTCTGATGTCTTTCCTGGATACTGTAACCATCGATGTGTTATAATTTCGTCGACAGTTGCTCTTTTATCTGCGTCCATTTCGAGCATTTTCAACAAAAATTCTATAAAACGAAAAAATTTCTCACAAGTAATAATTAATTACGCATACTACGAGAATAATTAAATCATTTTTTTAATAAACAATCTATCATTTGCACTCTTTTTGCTCAAAACAATTTGGAATTTAATAATGAATTAATCGAAAAACTGACCAACAACAATTTCTATCACAATAAAAGGAGTAAAATATTTTTAAATTTTCTGAAAAACTCACATAATTTCATCATTTCAAAAAACATTTACTGACTTACCTGAAACATCTTCATATAATGGTGGGAAACAGAAAAAATATTTTTTACATTTCGCTTTATACCATTCACGGTAATTTTGATCGCTTCTCCTTCAAATACAATATGTTATGCAAAAACTATTCAAGTTTATATATAAAATTTATTTTAAATTAATCGAAAAATGGTTAGCGTTAAATTAATAAAACTTAGAAACTCACTTTGCCGCTTCCCACGGTATACCCTGCTTCAACAGAAAGTGCAAAACGATACCGCATGCCCACATATCTGCACAATCTGGTCTGCAATATTTCAATCTCAAATTTTTTTTTGGGATTTTTTTATTTCAAAATGTGGAATATTGCTATACCTGTATTCCTTACTAAATGTTTCTGGTGCAGCGTATTCTTTGGTTGCATAAGATAAACCGAATATCTTTTTTCCGGCGCCAAAATGTACCGCATTATCAAAATCAGTCAATTTCAGGTTTCCTAAATAAACGAATGTCATCATTACAGTCTATGAGAAGTGAGAATATTTTATGTCACAATAATAAAGTTATACTATATATATATATATCAAATCAAACAAAATTAAATATAATATAAAAGTCATACCATTTAAAGTTATGAGACAATTTTCAGCCTTTATATCCATATGAGCTATGCACAAACGATGGATATGTTTCACTGCCTTCAACAGATCACTAAACAGCGATCGCACTTTTCTAATTTCCATTTCTCGGTCTTCTGCAAAAAAATCAATTCGAATATGGCGAAATTGAGATTCTAGCAAAATTATGAATTGTATCAATAAACTTAAACGTATTCTAAATAAACAAAATCTGAAAATTAATAAATTCAAACGCATCCCAATTAAATGAAATTTGAAAAATTTGTGAGTTTTAATTTTAAAATAATAAATCATTACTTTTAGTATAATTTATTTTTATGAAATCGTGAAGATCACCACCATCGATATACTCCATAATTTGTTGCGTAAATAAATTAACTTTACGGAAACCAATCAAACTTACAATATTAGGATGATGGCCAATAACTTCTTTTAATTGTAAAGCCTAAATGGTTATCGTAAGCAGACGTGAATTTCGCAACAAAAGATATATAGGACGGTTTCAAAAGTCTAAAATTACATTTTTGATATGTTTCTCCATACGAAGAACACTTTTAAATAGACGTTGTTCGTTTTTACGTTGTTCATTTTTCTTGTTTTCTGTAATACTGCGATCCTGTTTACGGTTCCATCGCATCGCATATTTTAATCCGTCATCATTTGATAAAAGATATACTTCATAGTTACCACCTAAAATACGAATATTTTTAAATATTACAGGCAAAATGATGTTGAAGATTAGAGATTCTAATATGATTATATCCTAATCAGAGAATTTATGTCTGGAAAATTATGTAAGATTATGATTTCCTATTTTCCATATTTTAATGAACAAAATGAAGAGGAAAAATACATTTGAAAGAGAAAGTATTTCATTTTAATTAACTGACCTTCGCCGAGCGATCTTTCGGTTTTCCATTTTTTTCCTCGTAATTCCATTGGCATAGAACTTTCATCAATGATAGCATCATCGGGATCATCAAAACAGCTAAAACTGTTATCTCCAGAAGTATAACCATCGATAGCTTCAGTAACAGAGATGGCAGTAGCAATAGAAAATTCATTAATCGTTTTACGATCATCCTTCACATCCATTTTTGAAATACTGGACATAATTTATTAGTCCGTAAGAAATAATTTACTGATTCTGTAATTATAATATCATACAAATTACTTTAATTTCTTTATGGATTAAAATGTACAAAAATTGTAAATCTAAATCAGGAAAAAAGTGAATGGCAAAAGAATTACTAACACGCTCATTATCATTGACAATATAGCATATCTTATTGCAATTCTAAATTGATTTAAAAAAAGTGAAATATTTAAATATTATCCGAAGCGACATCATTTCTGATAATCACAAAATTTCACATTCTACGAATTTATGTTTTCCTCCGTAATTCATTTGCTATCCACTTTTTTCCATTTTGATTAAAATTTGATTAAAAAATACCAAATGTTTCTTTAACTAATTTAACAATTTAAAATTTTTTAAAGAAGACATCTTCCATGCAAATGTAACCTCCTAAACAATACAATATATTATTATAATTCTGGTACGTTCCGAAAAATAGCAAGGAGCAGAACATACATACAGCAATGGGGTGATTACTGCAAATAACTTTTGTCCAAACTCTTTTCTTACCCTCTGCCTGTCAAATACCATTAATACTGCTATCACTATCCTATGTGCTTTGACTTAGGTAAACGCCTCTTCTGTGTTATTCTAAAGACAATGCGATATGACAAGGTTATGCGAAATTAATAATTGATATTATTCGTCAAATAAAAGTTTTATAACATTTTATTATATGAAATTCAAA